GATAAGTTGATTCGTGTTTTTGTTTATCAGTGAAAAAACATGCAAATTATCTTCTTTATAACCTAATCCCTGTTCTTATACTCCTGTGAATTAAGGAGGTGTCTCTCTGAGCCTCTTCCGAATAGGATTCATATGCTGCAGATGTGACACACTTGTATGGTTTCTCTCCTGTGTGAGTTCTTTGGTGTATCATCACTCTGGAATTCCAACAGAAACGATTTCCAAAACAGGACACTCATACGGTTTCTCTCCTGTGTTGAGTTCTCTGGTGTCTCACCAGGTTGGAACTCTGACTGAAACTTTTCCCACAGTCAGGACATTCAAAGGGCTTTTCTCCTGTGTGAGTCCTCTGGTGTGTCACCAGGCTGGAATTGTTACTGAAACTTTTCCCGCAGTCAGGACATTCAAAGGGTTTCTCTCCTGTGTGAGTCCTCTGGTGTATCACCAGGCTGGAATTCTCACTGAAACCTTTCCCGCAGTCAGGACATTCAAAGGGTTTCTCTCCTGTGTGAGTCCTCTGGTGTGACACCAGGCTGGAATTTTCACTGAAGCTTTTCCCACAGTCAGGACATTCAAAGGGTTTCTCTCCTGTGTGAATCCTCTGGTGTATCACCAGACTGAAATTCTCACTGAAACCTTTCCCACAAACAGGACATTCAAAGGGCTTCTCTCCTGTGTGAGTCCTCTGGTGTATCACCAGGTTGGAGTTCCATCTGAAACTTTTACCACAATCATGACATTGAAAGGGTTTCTCTCCTGTGTGAGTCCTCTGGTGTTTCACCAGGCTAGAATTATCACAGAAACATTTTCCACAATCAGGACATTCAAAAGGTTTCTCCTTGGTGGGAGTCCACGTTGCCATGGTCGCTAAAGCATTTAGTGCATTGGGAGCAGTTGTAGGGCTTCTCTCCTGTATGGATCCTTCCAAAAACCACAACGGAGTTGTTCTGATCAAAGGTTTTACCACATTCAATGTATATGTAAGATTTTTCTCCAGTCTGGATCCTCTCATGCATAATCAACTGTGATTTGCAAGTTTTATCTTTCCCACAACTAGCA